TGTGTTCAAGGTCGGAGTTTCCGTCTAATGCTATAACATACAACTGAAAGTTCAAGGTTATAATATATAAATTTGTTCGTTTTATGAAATTTATTTATGATTATTACTACAATACGACATTAATGCTAATGTTTATGAGTTTGAATTTCAAAACAATACAACATGATAATACACGTGCCAACATCTACTTGCAACGTTTCCGTAAACTATTACCCGTTTTGACGATCGGCAATCGGCACATATGAGTTTAGGCAATCGACACATGTGGATAAGCACACATCTTTTCTCTGACTAAACCAACCTATTTGTACAGACACCAACTTGAACAGCAGGAATGTTTCACAATAGTATTCATGTCGAAACGTCTAAAAATCAACGAGTAACTTTTGTTACGCCCTCGACGCAAAGCTCAAAGTTGCTTTCTGAGAGTATTCACAATGTTTTATTTGATATTCTAATTTAATATGCTTTCAGTGAACAGAAGCGAATTTCGAAATACTGCAGCACAAATTAATTCAAAACTGAGTGAATCTATGTGAATCTAAGCATGTTAGAAAATTATACGGAACTGTCAGCAACGTCTCAATTGTTTAAATTGTACATCGCTGTTCAAATTACGGGCAACATTCAAAAAATCAAAATAAACTATGTTGTTCAAAACGTGAAGTTCGGTTAACTGTTAATTGAACATCGAGTTACAATTCGGGCGTGGATATTTACGTAACACGATCTTTTTGTAACTCGATCACGTAGCACGACGTTTTCAACATGAACAATTCTACATCACACGCAACACGCACGCATTCAGATTATCAAATACGTCACATAATTATCAAAAATAGAGTATTGTGCATAGTAAGTTTCACCAAATACTCCGAATCTGCTACATCAATAGTAAATATTGCGTTCGTTGTAATAACACCAGACTGTTCATCAATTTCGAACAGGACTCTGACAGATTCTTTTGTAAGTGACAGCGAATATGTTATGTTTCCAATCACGTCTGGATCTGTGGCATTGACATCCACAACAAATGTTCCTATCGGAGAATCCTACACGCAAAAAATATTATTGCATAATAGTGATTTAGCATAACACAGATTTGACAAATTATGGAATAAATCGACAGCTGAAAACTATGTGACATGTGTTAATGCTAATGCATCGGGGAGCATTCACTGTCATTCAGCTCGTTCGAATAGCGTGTAATTCACTCGCTTTGCGTCGCTTGCATTCAATAGACAATTTTCGAGTTCCATCGTTACCTTAAAAACTTTGCGCTTTGTTGAAACAAAAATGTTCCACTTTTTGTTTGTGGGAGGGGCTGATTTCGCCGCGCAAACATACGTTAGCTCAACATAACGAAGGGTACCAGAAAATCCAATAAACAAATGGCCAGAGCTAGAAATCAATCTTCCATTTTCGCAATGCAATCGACTGATGGCGCTATAACTACTGAGAATATACTTTTATAACTCCTATATTGGTTTACAATAAAATGTAGGAATTATCTGTGAGTACAGTTGGTTGACAAGATAATATTTCGCACTTTTCAGTTTGTATATTTGCGACACTAACGATACTTTAGGTACACGCTGTTATCAGGATTTACTTCTTATATGAACAGGTACAATACATATATGCACTGATAACAAAACTGCAGATACGTACATGGTAAACAAACGTAAACATGTCATCTGGATCAATAGTAGGTGGATTATCGTTGACATCTAACAAAGTGATATCAACAGTAGCATTGTCGTGTTTTGACGGCACTCCACAGTCATTTGCCGAGACTACCAGATACACAATCGCTTCCACTTCCCTGTCAATCGTACCATTAGTTTGTATTACTCCAGTGATGTTATTTATTTCAAAGAAGCCTGCAACAGAAAGGAGATAAGCTTTAATTATTGTAACTGTGGAC